AATACACTGGTTTGACATTAATACACCCACCCGAAGGTAGAGAACATTGAGGAGATTCATCATCTTATAAGAGGATTCCGCACCACTTGGCGTCTACATGGTCCTTTACTACACTTGGCCGAGTTCTGCTCTGGTTACCTTGGTATTATACATTCTAGTTCCTCATCACCATGCATAGTGACATGGGGTACTCATGATGGTGGAGTAGTAGTAGTATCCCGAATACTACCACTATTACCATATACCAAGGTAGAGACCATATCCTGTGGTATTGAGCATGCATTGTTATTGCTGGTTGGGGGTAATCCAACTCGACATATTATCCTAGCATTGGGGAGTAATAAACGAGGTCAGTGTGGAGTACCCAAAGAGAGGACAATACTTTCTACTCCTGAGCCTATCCTAACACTAAATGATAGCATTATAACCCCCTGTATCTCAGCAGGACCCTATCATAGCCTATGTACAGTAGTATGCTACCAAGATATTGTTACTACCATGGCTTGGGGTGCTTATGATGGTATATGTTTACCCTCCCAGTTCCCTATCGATACCTTTATCCCTAGCCCAATCGAGCTCCTCACTACTCTAGACCTCAATCGGGTATATGCTACTAATGGTGGTAACCTAGGTATAACTCTTGATGGATCACTCGTAGCTTGGTCAATACCCTCCCATATACACTTTCGAAAGATGCTCGGCAAGACCCACGATGATGGTATATACTCATCTCCTAAAGTAATACTATCACTACCCAATAATCCTATACTTACTCTTAATACAGATGGTAATAGGATTATACTCCTAACAAATGATGGTTCCTTGTATTATTGGGGTCGTACGCCGATACGATGTATTTATGGTACTATGGTCATTGAAGGCTCCTCCTCCTACTCATCCTCTATAACCTCTTCATTACTCTCGACACCGCCGTCGACACCGCCCATCGATGAGTATAATATACTCCATCATCCCGTTAGAGTGGATCTATCGGAATATCATGATCCCGTTATGGAGGTTTATCTATGTAGTGATGGTCATTATGATGATAGAGTAGTGATAAGGTTAATCGATGGTACATTATTAGGGTGGGATACCGTTACATACGATAATACTGGTGAGGTTCCCCTCTTACGCCCGGGCTTATTCCAGTATAGGCATGCTAGCAATGCAGAGGCAGCAAGAGTTATGCCTACTGGTACAGTAGTGGGAATGCTCTCTCCTAAGACTAGGACATATCATTTACGATCGCTCAAAAGAGCAGTATCGGGAATCGAACCTGGGCCTAAGGATGGACGGTCCAGAATACATCCTCTGAAGAAAAGTGTATGTGATATCCCCGCCATACGAACAGTAGTTGGAAACCATGCACGGACCAATCTTGTTTTACAAGATGCTGTGGGAGGTAGAGTACCTCTCAGGGACAGGTAGGGAGGTCGCAGGCTCGATTCCCACGGAGTATGCTATTCCCAGTCGGTCGAAGCCATCCTCATCATCATCATCATCATCATCATCATCATTGACGCCTCATCAAAGGGGGCCGATACAACGAAGGCATGAGTCACGAGTGATATCATCTTAACATCATAGCATCAAGGTTTGTGCCTCCAACCATTATCATGTATTCAGGTGCGACCTACTTCTAGTACAGACCGGAGTATTGGACCAGAATTAGCTTCATGATTAGGCATGCAGCACTTACCATGATATTATCGTCTACTCTTATTGTCCAGTCGTTATTATATGTCGTGTTGAGAGTGGTATATGATCATCTTTATAGTGTACTCTGTCATCATATGATCACAATGGTCCAAGGTATGGCCTCTCTAGCTCAGACTATATTGGTAAGTATGATAGTGATATTCATAGTGATATTATGATGTATATCATTATTAGATACCAATTATGGTACTTATGCAGAAAGCATTCGGACTTGGTATGATTGGATATTTCGTAACATTCTCTATTATACCCAAATCGTGTAACACTAAGATGATGATTATGATCAGGTATGGAAGTCATGGGAGAGTCCGGCATGATTATCAACATATTAGTGATGATGCTCTTACTGCTGCTGCTGCTCTATCGAGAATTCTTCACCACACTATTCCTACTAGTCTCCACTACTTCGTCGTGACATTGGAGCTCCATTGTATTGTGTCGAAGCTTCGGTCATTAAGAAGGAGGAGGAGGCGGCCTGGTTGGTTATATTTGGAAGAATGAGTTCTCTAGTGCACCCCAGTATATACCATCATGCTACTAGTAGTAGTAGTAGTAGTAGTAGTAGTAGTAGTAGTAGTAGTAGTAGTAGTAGTAGTAGCACTCTTGCCAACAACATGATTTTCACTCTCATCAGTTGGACCATATCTTTTGTTAATGATACTCCCCATACGTATGTTACAATAATATATACAATTTTTCCCATGACCTCCTCTCATTTATTAATACCATCAACCCCACCAACACCTACTACTGAAACCATCTCTCTGCCGCCGCCGCCTACTACTACTACTACCACTACGACTGCCGATAGAGGTAATGCTATATACACGTATGTGTGGCCTATGTATGGTAGGTACGGCAACGCTTGTAAGCATATCGATATGTGGTGTAGTAATCATAGCGGCAGCAGTTGGTCTGATATTCTGCTTTAATAACAACCCTATTTACAATGATGATGATATAGCATCCCATCCATCACAAGAGTACTATCATCATCATCAACAACATTATCATGGTATAACAGTTATCATCTTCAGGTTATCATCATCTCCTACTAAGGAGGATGGTCGTCCGAATCGTTATCGATGGTATCGTCTACCAAGATTATTATCAACTCTTAGTGTTATCAATGAGGAGGAGGATGATAATGACTAAGTGATATTTGATACGGCTTTTAGTAATAGTCTCAATCATCTACTAGACGACATACTACCCATTATCGCCACTGAATATGATGGAAGGTCTTGTAAGGTTACATTTCTCGTCCTCCTCCTAATTTCTATAAATCCTTGTCAATAGTCCTCCTACTCATGCTACACTTACTAATTACTATTTTATCAACCCTATGAGTTGTATCCCCTCTAATATGGGAGGAATATATCTTACTTTTCCCTCTCCTCCTGCCGTTGCTGCTGCTCGAGTCAATGAACAGTATAATACAATAATCCGTTTCTGAACATCTGGTCTCGTAGTCACAACCTCATCAATAACGTATCTAATTGTCGTCCTATGATGGAAGTATACATAAGTTAATGATCCACAAGCAAGAAGTGTAGCCTTGCGTTAGGATAGTCTATCTTGGGGGGGTATGTTATGGTGCAACATTGACCATATACTGGCACTAACTCAATGTACTGAGGTATATTTCCTAGTGGTGACTTCGAACAGAAGGTGGAGGAGCTCATCGTATAGCTCATATAGCGACAATATCCGGTCAACCAGTTGAAGTGGGGATAAGTCATTACGGCCTCATACTCATCCAATAGTAGTGAAGAAGGCACCTCTTGTCAGTATGTGTATAATCAGGGTAGTCTAGTATGACAAAGACATGACACGAGGAAGTATGAGTGATGCCGATATGCTCAAGCAAGCTACTGGCTTTCAGTGACCATGTCCCCTGGTATTACTGAGCTTATATGAGGATATCAACTGAGCTCTATTGTGTAGGGCTAGTCACTATCAAAATGATATATTCGATTGTTACTCTTTGGACAACCTATCCAGTGAGTGCGAATTAGATTAGTATAATAATAATCTACTATACAAGTATGCCTACATCGTCGTATATCCGAAATGATGTTTATGATGTCAGCTGTCTGTCAGGGTTGAGTTACCGTATGTCTAACATACATACTGTGCGCAACATCACATTACGAATCATCCTCCCAAGCTGATAATGAACTCAACTCGCAGTAGCTAGTAGGATACGTAGTAACGATGAGTATATAACAGAGTGACTAGCGTGTTTGTAGAGTGGGTAAAGGGGTGGCTATAAGATCCTTGATTTCTGATAGCTGTTTGGATCTCTTTGATGATGATGATGAGGATGATATTGCACGTTGGTTTACATTATCCCAATCATCATCATCGTCATCGTCATTGTCATCTTGGTTATTATCATCGTCACTAAAAGGTAGATCAGCATCTAATGCCATTTTCTTCATCCATGCTCTCTCTTTATTATCCCTTTGCTCTCTATGTTGTGCTCCTTCATAATCATTAACCACCATCAATAAATGCTTCATGAAGGCTATATCCCTACCATAATCACCATCATATACATCGTCACTACTACTATACTATCCAACCTGCTATTCACTGTAATATCATGTGGTGTAATATTCACTGCATCTAGAGTCCTCCTCCATGCTCCATCTTCACATGGTGTCCTTATTATTATGCAAGTACCCTTACGTCCAGCTCTAGCTGTACGCCCCGACCTATACTACAACAATATGATGTTCACTAGCAGCAGCAGCAGCAGGAGCCTACCTATGAATAAATAACTCTAATACTCTGGGGCAGTTGACATGAATAACAGTATCAACATCGGGTAGATCCAAACCTCTAGCAGATAGATCAGTCGTTACCAGTACACCACATGAGGAATTCCTGAACTTCTCTAATTTCTTCAGTCGATCCTAAAGGTAATAATGATTATAGTGGTAGTCAGAACTGGTGATCACCTTCTGTTTAAGATCAGAGTGTAGACCACATACATTGACCTTATCACTAGTGGCAAGGGATAATATCGATGATAAACGATAAACGTAGCTGATGGAGTTCACGAACATTATTATCTTACCATAACTATCCTCCTTACACCTGAACGTGATTCAATATCATCCTCAATGATTATCATGATTATCAACAACCATATGATAATGATAATGATGAGGAAGAGGAGCGGCATTACTATCATTACTTGTCAGATTTAGGTCCAAATCTATAATGTAGATAGTAGAGTAAAGCTGCCTCTCTATCCTTATCAACACTAACTCTTATCTCCTTGAATGTTAGAGTATCAGGCAATGATGATGATGTATCCTTTGCATTAACACTATCCCCTTTAGTAAGATCAATAACCTCTCTATGCTTCTCTGTCCTCAATCGTAACTATCAATACTTTAGATGAGCAGCAGCAGCATCAGCGGCAAGGAGCAGGAGGAGGAGGATCTAGACCTTACTTTACTCAATAATCGTGTTATCTTGTCTCCTGCTATTTGATTCCGTGACTTCTCTATCCTCTTCTTCTCCCTCTTCGATACAATACCAGTAATATGTGATGATTCCGTTGCAAGAGTTGCCGAGAATACCAAATGCTATCAATACATGTTATTGACTACCAATGGTATCCCATAGTTACCTGTATTTTATTAACTTGAGTAGTGGTATAGATGATATCCAACACTCTAGTAAGATCCTTAAAATGTCCTTCATCAGCAACAAGCCTATCTGCCTCATCTAACACTATTGTCCTCAATTGTGGTATCAACTTCTTCCTTAACTCGTCGGATGCCTACTCATCATTACCTTATTATATCAATCATTACTATTGATATTACTTGTATCTCAGTATCAGCCCTATCCAATACATCACCACTAACCTTAATAGTAGCACATCCCAATAATGCTGCTAATCGTCCAGGAGTCGCCACTATAATATTGGGTACCTATCATAAGCATCCTATTACTAATACTAGTCGCAGTAATAGTATCATCTTACCTTATGCATGAGCCTATGCTGTTTCTGTATAGACATACCCCCTACGATAGGTGCTATGAGTAAATGCGGTATATAGTGTCCAACCTTAATAAGATGAGTATAAACCTACTTAACACCACCAATATGCCCATAATATGAGATAATGTCTATAACCTGCATAGCGAGCTCTCGTGTTGGTACAACAACTATAGCATCCAACCTGCGACGTCTATTACTATTGTCATCATTATCATCTTTTAAAGACGACGATGACTCCATATATAAGATATTAGTAAGTAATGGTATACCTATTATCGATATACTCTATTAAGCAGTAGCATCATCATCTTATTACCATAAGCAAGTGTCTTACCACTACCCGTCTCAGCTGCTGCTAATATGTCCTTACCTATTGGTAATAGTGCTGGTGGTATACTCTGTCGTTGTATTTGTGTAGGTATAGTGAATCCCAATCCCTAATATGATGATAACTATCCTACTATGTTGTTATACTACTCATCATTAATACCTTCAAACCCATAAGGATCTCATCAGGTATCGATGATGATATACTCTTCCATTCATTCATATCACTAAGATCCTCTATTCTATCAATAGGAGATATGTCCTCAACAGTAGTCTTCTTCTTCTTCTTGTTCTTGCTCTTTTTCTCTCCCCGTATACTGCCTTCTACCACTTCTTCAGATGCTTTCCTCTTCTTTAATATGCTTCCCTTTACCACATGCTCCTCCTCATCATCCTTTTCCTGTTGTGTTGTTGGTTTAAGGGCATTTATAAGTTGATCATATTCATCATTATTAGGGTCTAAGACCTCTACCCCTAGTAACTGTCCAGCAACCCCTCCTTCTAGGTCCTCTACCGATACAGACTTCCACGACTTAGTAGTAGTAGGACGACCCTTGCCACTCTTCCTTGATGATTTCTGTTTCAATCTACGAAGAAGGGACATCTGACTAAAACCTACCAAATAGTACATATGTGATAATAATAAACTCTATACAGTATATCTGATACACCCTCAGTGTAGACTGATAACGCGCGGCGGCGGCAGAAGGGGAGGGGCGGATGGCGCAGGTTCGATCCCACCACCCGCCGTTTCTATTATTTTTTCAGGGATAAACCTACAATACTCGAGACCTCTTGTTGCGTACATTAAAGTGCATGAATAGTATGATATGAATGTTGTAGATAAGTTGTATGGCGCCACCACCACCACGTCGTCATCATCATCATCCTCGTGAACGATCATTATCATCAGTGGGAGGGGGTAGTAGGAGTGTTTCTAGTAGTGGTAGTAGTAGTAGGCAGCCTGGAACGAAGCCATCAGTTGGGAAGGAATCAGTAATACATCACCATGGTAATGATGATGATACTAATAGTGGTTATAGCTACTACTACTACTATGATGATAGGTCATCACCATACTGGTGTTACTAGTGTCGTATCTGATGATAATAGAACAGACTCTCGTCTATTGGAATGGGAGGCGGCCTTTGCATTGGACTTTGGACATAACTGGGAGAATGCTTACACATCTAACACTACTCAACAACATACATTACCTAAGGATTATGATGAAGTAATATCATTATTACTATCATAATAATCACTAATGTATTCAGGTTAGAATTTTCTGGTTAACACAGTTAATGGGAGCCCATCATCGTATATCCTCTACCAAGACTTCATCTATCCATGCCCATATTGAGGATCTACAGGTTACTTCTACTACCATTATCACCACTTCCTATACATTATCATATTCATACTCAGTCCATCATGAATAGTAATTTCCAAGCATTCTCTGCATTGGTAAGGAGCTCTATACCCAATAATAACCATATATATACTGATGGGTATTATGATACACATGTTGATGTTGTTACAGGAGATACTACAATCAAGAATAACAACAACAGCAAGGTATTATTAATAACACTTATATGATTGTACATGATCCTATCCCTTCAGAGGTCTAGATCATCATCATCATCAGTATCAGAAGTATCATCGACTCGCCATAATAGTAAAAAGGCGAGGGCTGCTGCTGCTGCTGCTGGTGCTGGTGCTGGTGCTGGTGCTGGTGCTGGATCCTCCAGTAGTACAGGTAATTGTAGATGATAGGGTGATATTGTCATTGTAATACTAGTTATTACCCACACCCCATCTGATAATACTATTATTAATAATGGACCAGTACTACATGTGACAGGAGGTATGTTTATACCTATCATACATCAACGTAACAAGGTTAATAATAATAATGCTGCTGCTATCAAACGGTCAGTATCATCATCATCATCATCATCAGCAAGTGAGATGTACATCTATCATCATACTACTTATGCTCCTCCACTTGGTAGGTCGGCAGGGGTTTCCCGCACTACGATACAATACATGATGATCATCATCAATCCAATACTACTGATATCGATGTTAATGAGGAGTTTGTTATTGGTAGAAGTAGTAAGGATCTACTCACTGCAACAGAGGGTAAACCATCATCATACTCCTCTGATAATGATTATTATGATGTAATACTATTATGAGGAGTAGTAGAATATTAGAGTGACAGATAACGGCCACAAAACCACGAGTAGGAGGCAACATTCAAGAACCCCATCCACTACCACCACCATCATTAAACCTAGTTAACCTACCAGGATCTCAGGCAATCTCTAGAAGGCATGCTATCATACGGAGGTCTACTACTAAAGGAGTAGGAATGGTACGACAACATAGTAAATCATCATCATCACCTCAACCATCTCGACGAGAGAAGGATTCATTATCATCAGATTGGATGCTTATTAATAACTCTCTTAATGGTAGTATTATCAATACTATTACTATCATATAATGATACTAGTGTAGGTACAGAAGTAGATTCTAAGCTGTTGAGAGGGGTAGGGGATTCGGCACTATTACATCATGGTAGTAGTATACGTGTGGGCCGACAGACTTTTGCATTTTATGATTATACTCCAACAACAACAACACAATAATATTAATACCATTTCCACTACTCTAATGCTCTTCTTGTTCTCGTATATCACCACTGCTACCACAGACAGCACGGGGAGGAGAGGGCTACTCCTATGGCAATGAGTATCATAATAATAAGCACGCTACCACCTCCTTGGGGACTATTATACTAGATGAGTAAATCATTGATCTCACCTTTTTATCAACTAATACGTGGCGTTATTGGCATCATTGGTGTTGGCCTGAATACTAAGGATATCATCACGCTAAGGATATATACATGTTAACATGGAGTTCAAGACTAGGAGTTATATATCCAATATTAAAGGGATAACTCGATCTCATGTAGATGGGAGAGGGGACCTGCTAGATTTAGTTTACAGTGTTCGTGTAGAAAGGAGGGCATGATGGGGCAAGAAGGATACCATTCAATGGATACCTCTTCATAATAACCTCATTCATATCGCCACAATACTACTACTTGGGATTATCGATGAGACAGCGTCGTCACATTGCGATCACCGGACTATTGTAGGTGGTTTAAAGACAAGGAAGAAGAGGTTTCGGTAGTATAATGATGATGATGATGATGATGATGATGGTAGACAGGTATTCACTTATTCTATCTAGGCCTTAGTCAGTGAAGTCATTAGTCCCTTCGTTTGAAAGTGTGTACATTGTCACGCGTGCATAATCGTATTTCCCCTTATGAACTCAATAAACGCCTGATAATACATAGGAGGAACAATCAACCTTCATCGGAAGTTCCTATCCACAACAACAAGAAGAAGAAGTTTCTAATCTATTAGAAAGATTCAGCAGAATGTAACCTCAAGTATACCTACACTCCGTGAATGTATTTGAGTTATCCCAGTATACTCAACTAAAGGACGTATATTATGCCTTCTTATACCACCTAATAGTAGACAATCATATACAACTGATCATAACCAATGCTACAACACTCACCTGCCATAACTATGCTCATATTGATATTCATCATCGTCACATGTTTTTGCATATCTCGTAGTACCTAATACTATATATACTATGATATCCAACATCATCATCATCATTACATCCTTCCCTTCCTCAGCAGTAGTATGTAAACCAGATGTAAGGATTCGTCGAACACCACATTCATATAATTCATCAATTACTCGAATAGCAGCTGTAGTAATATTCTGAACATAACCTAATCATATTCCTAACTTTTGAAGGACCTTACTTTAGTATCAATCGATACGTAGTCGATAGCCTTATGAAAGGTTACTGGCCATGGTGCTGAACAGTTCACTACTCTCGATACAGCATTGATATCGGGAGAGGATGGGTTACTCTTCGATAAAGCTCCAAACTACTAGTAGTAGATACGATAAAGAGTATTATCATCATTAATGCAGGCACTCACCACAACACCATCCAGATTGAGTCCTTCCCTTTTCCATATACTTAACGTGTTTAGCATATTATCCATTTCCAAAGGAGTATATATAAAGTTGCCACCACGACATCTCAGCATACATACAAGTTTCACTCCGTGTTGTGAACATATGATGATAGTATCTTTGATAAGGTCTAGGGATGGTGTCAACCTAATATTATTAGAGTTTACCATCATAGGATTACCAATAGTATTCTTGTTACCCATCAAATTCCATCTCTGAGCATAGCTCAATCCTATGAGCACCTTTCTCACATGCAATCTGTACTTCCGATAAAGTACTACAACAAATCTCGAGAATCTCAGGGACAACGGAAGTAGCGCCCGATGACATTATATATGGCTTATTAATAATACTGTATGATGGTGTATAAGCCTTTTCCTATACCTCAAGTGTATTATGAGCTACCTTATTTGTGTGAATGTTATCATCAGTCTTTACTTGTAGTGTTGTTCTATGTACCACCCAAATATACTAACTCGAATCATTCATTACATAAGGAAGGAGACGACGGAGACGACGACGAACTTCTTCTCCAATATTAAGATAAAACCTCGTTAAAGCTCACAAATGAGTTTGATATGTTGAGGGTAATCCATTGAAAGGGTATATTATTATTGATAATGATGAGTCTCTGATAGGCCACAATTATAGGAGGATGATGATGAGGATGCCTCGTAATCTAGTATCATCATTATTAGCTTCACCGATAATTGTGTAGTGCAGAACCCTTCTCCAAACATTATTGATGCGATGGAATTTACACTTCTTTACTTGAGTGATAACAGTATTTCCTCATTTAATCGTACCCGTCACTATATGCGCTTGTTATACACATCAGGCCTAGTGTTTACCACCATCATGAACCAATCAGTGGTAACGAGTCTAGCATAATGATGATGATGAGCATCAATAGTGGTCAACTGGATGCTGATCATAATGTAGTTACCTCTACCACCATTGCATATTCCCTTGTATTCAGCACCCCTTAGACTAGACACCTGACTATAGCTAGTATAGGGGTATCTCTGCGGCGGCGGGATGCTGTTATAACCTGAGTAGCCTTGATAGAGTTGCTGTCATATTATACTGGTTGGTACGATAGGAAATCATGCTTGCCGCCGCCCAAACAACGAGTCAGGGAGCCACCCTGCCCCCACCGTTCTTAGGAGACCGTGGTCCTGACTTGACGCGGTGCTGCTGCCTATGGTCCATTAATACCCATGATAGGTTTGAACTCATGGCCATACCAGGACTTGCCACCATTCTTCTCCCTCAAAGTTTGAGGCTCAAACTGGAGGATAGAATAATAATAACAATACGGCTCAGGGATAACAGGTATGTCTATAACGCACTTGTTTCCGCCACCTCGTTGCCGGGGCTTAGACCCATCTGACGGTGATTGAATAACGCGGCCGTCGCCGTCGTCGCCGCCGGATGCTCGAGGGCCTCACGCGTAGTTTCCACTCTGCCTAGAGTCCTCACAGGGTATGGTATATACATCATTAAAGGACTCAATATTTTATGATGATCTTTCTATTATCTACCATACTGAATATACTCCCATATAATCGGATTATTATTATGATTACCATTATCCATACCATACTACCATGGTATGATGTTACATGATAATTAACATTACGCCGTGTATGGTCATGATGATAATGATGCACAGATTATTTCCCTTTAGAAAGGGGAGGCTACATGTAATACTATATTGCCGCTACTGTAGCTGCGGCTTCCCACATAGAGGTCATAGTGACTTAGTGACGACATGGAGACATAGTAAGGGGAGGACATGAAGACTGGTATGAGGAAGAAGAGGAGGAGGAGGCAATCCTACTTGGAACACTGAACTCATAATGATGTTCATGATGTTCATGATGTTCATGTTGGTTCATACCATATGTATGAACCATAGTAGGACTACTCTTCATTAGGTTGTGCTAGCCTCATTGCAATCTATCATCATAATCATTTACATAACAATAACTTGACAGCTCATGATCATTACATTATAAAGTCCATTATCATCATCCGCCTTAGCATCAATTGATGCAGCTTTAACTGCTGCTTTCCAGTCTATATGACAGGATGATGCCCGATGATGATGAGGATGTGTATCATTATTCACCTACTAATAGTACTACTACAGCTATAAATGCCATCTAACTTATTATTCTCCCTACCCTAGATGTTGAGACTGCTATGGATCGTTGCCAATGTAATGATCCCGCTGGTAGAGGTAATCTAAAGTTCACAGGATTCACCTTCCCAACATCTATCATCATCATTGATGATGATGGATCATAACATAGTCTATCATCTTGAGTAGTATCCTGAAATATAGTACTCACCATAATCATAGTAGTAGTAGAAGCCTGTTACACTACTACTACCCGCTTCTCCTCTACTTCCTCCTCCTCCTCATTACTATTATTATCATTGTCACCTCCTGTAATAAGTTGTAGCTCTGCTAATCTTCTCTGCTCATGTGTATTCATCAATACATTCTTTACTACATGTACGACACCAGTTGTTATCTCACTTGGCATATACCCAATGTTTATTAATATACGTTCATACCTGGCAACCATCATGATCATCATCATTACTACTATTAGGAGCACTACGCATTGCGTATTTCCCTCTCTCTTTTTAACATTTCCCTCCACTTAGCATTATTCTTCATTAACTCATCTTTAAGCTTTATTATTTCCTCTTCCTCCTCATCATCATCATTATCTCTCTTCCTATCATCAATATCACATTGTATACGATATAATTGTTCTTCATAATAATGTCTATCATTCACAGCGTTAGTTGCTGTAATCTGCCATTCTAAACGTTCCCTAAGATCATATCTAATACCACCAGTATTATTATTATTACTACCCTCTTATTATATCCAATTCCTTAGTCTTATCCTGTATCATTGTTTCTAATTCATTGATCCTATTGTCAGCATCAGTGAGCTTATTTTTAAATTCCTCCAGATCATGCTGTAAACTTTGTATATGATGTTCACTTGCTAATATACTACCCGACATCTTACGCCCATCATCTATTCTAGTAGTATCAGATAAACCACCACCACCACCACCCGATAAACATCCACCCATTTATGATGATCGGTGAGATGAGTGACGATTATGCGCTAAGTAATCGAGAGAAAATATCACAGAAACGGATAACATTTCTCAATGCACAAACGTTTATAACGGAGTTGAGTATCTACCCACCATCATCACTATCTGTATATAGGACTCCCATATCGTCCAGCGCCTCAACGTGGCGTGGGAGTGATACTCATACGGGGTATGCGAAGCTAGTCCGCTTATACGGTATTAGTTATACCGAACTCGACAATCACCCATCGGGTGGTGCCTGAGTGGCGGTGATTCCCCCTCGCCCTCCTCCTTTTCTTTGTTCGGCTCTCCGCACATCTCCTCCTGTAGGGTCCCTCATACTCGTCATCACCCCCTGGCGGCATCGCAAGCGTCCCCATCGATTTACCGTGGTATCCTAGTAAGATAACCCTACAACGTCAATGGCTAACTTGGCAGCAAGGTAGACGTAGCTCGTTACCCGTCTCTTGCCCAACCACATGTAGTCTGCCTTCACGATACATTCCACACCGACTCCGTCCACCTACGCTTCCCTGGCTACCACGTCGACCATCTGCTTTCGGCATCAATTCCGGGGACATCTCAGCGGTCTTCACGTCGTCATCGCATCAGCGGTGGTCTGGTCTCACTAATCCGCGACGATCTTATCTATCACCATTTGTATACCATTACTTACATCGACTCAAACGATTTTTTCTGTATACGTGCCACAGTTGTTCTTGATAACACCCAACATCCTTTCTTATCGTTATCAATTATTAACTGCTATTTTCGCCCCTCTGTTAGAATTCCAGAGGACTCTCTCCCGCATATTCCCACACAGCACTATTATTCTGGGAGACTTCAAATATGCAACAATTCTGCCTACTCGGTTTGTCATCTTCTTCTCTATGGCTCAGGTTTGAACAGGCTTCGACCATCCTTCATCTCTACATCGGTACCACCCGAACTCGACGACAAGTACTTCTTCATGCTCCTCTAGTTGACTAAGGAACTGTTTTACGTTTCATTCACCCTTGCCCAAGCTAACCACCTCAACCTGTGATTTTCCTCTGTAGGTACCGCTACTCTTGCTGTGTGGAATTGGGAGACTCCCGTCCGCTGGTCCGGTTAGTTTTTTATCGACCTTTGCTCTTTTATCTCTGTCATGGCAGGGGATTTCAATGTCGCTCTTTACCACTCTACTGTGCATTATTCGCCGTAAGGGCGATACGCCAACAGGCGTGTAACGCCCCGGTAATAGGCGTTGCGTTGCGTTGTATGTAGGAAAGTAAAAGGATAATATGATTACCTATGTGAGTGTGAGTATGGGGATAGCAGTGTTGGATAAGAGGTGTATCTATAGGGTGGTAGGAACGAGGCATATAACAGAGGATAATGATCATCATACTATAATAGGTTGATAGATACTATGTTGTTATGTTCCAAGTGATAGTGAACATAGTATTGAGATGTAATACAATCTGTACACAGTATGCTAGACTAAGGTGATGTTGATAGTAGTCAATAATGAGAATGATAATAATCAATATTGCTATGACAATGAATGATGATAACCATGGTACTATATCGTTGTGGTTTTAATCTGGTATATATAACTCCTACAAGGGTAACATGAGTCATATTACATGACTACGACTGTTGTTATTACTAGTATTGCTATAGACACCTATGAAGGGTTATTATATATTGCATCGAACATCAATGAGGCGATTGATGGTATGATGTTGGTATCGTAAAGTGTTGTTGTAAGTAAAGCATAATATTCTTCTATCTGATATCATTGATGTTGTTGTTAAGTGTTGTCAAGAGGGACACATGACCATACTGTATTAACACAATATGTATTGATAAGAGGTATTTTTAATTATTTGTAATTGTGTACAACTTGGGGCAATCACTGTGAATGGTTTCCTAAACTGAACATACCTATAATAAGCATCATCATGGGCAGTATCATCATTTAATATATTTATTATTATTACGGTCCACTAGATGTTCTTATAACCCACCATAATTCATATTTACCTGCACATAGTAGTGATGTATCTATATAAGTTGTAACATACCCACTAAATACTTCATCATTACTATTAAGTTGTACCTATTCATAATACTAATAATCATAATAATGATAAACCATAATACCTCAGCTAGGACCTCCTTTACTTCATCTACCAATATATTCCTCCTCTCTGCAATACTTAATATACTTTCTGAGCTACTACTACTACTAGTTGTTGTATTATTATTAGCAAACTCATCAACATTCCGTGGAAGACCCTCTGCACGATGTATCTCTATGTATGCACCTTAACTAGTTATGATGATTATGATGATGGTATGTAGTAGCGATATGTAGTACCACAATTTGGATCTCTATCGAATTGCGTATTAATACAAGTGGGAATCCGTGAATTCTGAATGTATGCTATATGCATATCTTCAGCATCTACCCCAGCAATAACATTATTAGGATGATCCTGAATATTCATAATAAACTACTATTTATACCAACAATAATAATGATGATGGCAGTACTACTATTACTACTTACTTGACACGCAGGTTGATTAGAGTACATACAGCATTCATCGTAATTATTATTGAGTATTCCTCCTATTAATGTTGTATTATAACATGGATTTATACGTATATCCATTTGATAATATATATTCCATGTCCTTGATACCATACCTTCTCCTTTTGATGATGATATGGCGTAAGTATAGTCTATATCATTTACTAATCTCATCTTATAATCATCTCTGATAATAACAACAATAAGTATTAATGATGATGATGATGAGGATTTTACTATTACCATTACCTTAACTGAGATAGATACTTATTAGTATCGGGTCGAGGATAACGAGCATGTGTACCCCAACTATAGTACCCCTCATCCACATTAACAGCAGCATCCATAGTCTTATAGTGTAGTAGTGGTAACAATAATGATGATATTACCATTATTAGTATAGACTATGAAGTGATGCTGAGTGTTTCATATTCAAATATAATAATAATGAAGTCAACACAGGTAGACGAGAACAATGCAGTAGTGATAATAACTTATCAGATGATTCATCAAGACCATCATCATCATCATCATTCTTGATACTACTGTACAGATAAAGACCATACCTATCATAATGGTTATGCTAATTAACATATGCTATTAAAGTACTACTATTACTACCACTACTATACGAATGATGAGACCACACCAATATTACCGCAGAGGCTCTCTACTCTTCCTTCTCGTCGTCATCATCATAATCGAATGCACCTCTCAAAAGACATGTATTATCACCATATCGTGACCCGAAACCCTGAGAATTACTATCCTATTATTACAATAATCTAGTGTATTGTTATTACCCTCTTCCTTGCTTCAGCAGCAGTACGTGTCTTCATTGGTGGAGGTATCTTATTAGTATTATTATAATACTACTACAATTATAGATAATATATTACACTAGAGTTCTCATATCCCCACATTGGTGAATCGTCTTCCTCATTATTATCATCATCCTCTATAGTTCCTTGTAATGATTCATCCTAATACCATGATGATACTATGATAGGATTGCATACTTATCATTACTAGTATTAAACAATCATCAATGCTGTTGTTGTTGTTGTATATATGAGGTATACAAAGAGCATCCGAATTAGTGGAGAATCTGGTATTAGGATTCCCATTAGAATATATAAGTGTATCACTGTCAGCTAAGTATCTAACTGATAGTATAAAGTTATATTTAATTTAGTACTACCTAAAAACATTGATAGTAGTAGTACTGGTGCTGCTAGTATGAGGGATTGTAGTCATAGTAGTACTGGTGCTGCTAGTATGAGGGATTGTAGTCATAGTAGTACTAGTGCTGCTAGTATGAGGGATTGTAGTCATAGTAGTAATAGGGGATGTATTGATAACATTACCAGTAATATCGACTATTGGTAATAATATTTGAGAGGAAACTTCTTCTTCTTGTAATGATGAATATGGTATTTGTATATATGGTGGTGGTGGGTGCTTATACCTCCAATCTGAGAGTATACTATCCATAACTATCCATAGATTAATACTACCACGACAACACTCTTCTTCTCTTCTTCTTATGTCATCATTATCATCATTATAACCTGCATAGTTATGATGACGACGGAGCACATGATGTGATACCAAAGTTTGGCGATGACAACATTCTATTACTACCAATACTACTACTACTACTACTACTACTACTACTACTACTACTACTACTACTACTACCACTACTACTACTACTACTACTACCACTACTACTACTACTACTACTACTACTACTACTACTACTAGTACTACTACTACTACTACTACTACTATCACTACTGTGACCGTGTATAGGTCTGAGGTCGCTAGCATCATCATCTTCTTCTTGTTGATATTGTTGTTCATCCTTAGATAATATAATATTATCATAATGAGCAGCAGTAGACGATGGGGACAAAGAGGCAGGCACTATGCCAACGATGACATTGATGTCTATGTAGATGTATTAATATAATAATAATACACTATAATCCAACTGTAACAACAACATAATAATATCCCCTCTACAGTGTAGGGCCGCCTAGACCTATTAATTGACTACTACAAAAGAGCAGTACTACTCAAGTAACTTTACAATGATGATGATGAGGATAGTGTGGTATAATGATTAATAGGAAATGATGATAGTAATACTGACCTTGTATTATTACCATACTTACGATAATCCCTAGAGAGTATTACCTTAATAATACAATCAACAACATGGAGGTGGGATAGAAGAATAACTATAATATTAATGATGAGAGAATGCAAAAGCAGTAGTAGTAGTAGCATCAGCATGAACAACAACAACAACTAGGCAACAATAATACAACAACTCAGTTACTACTGTTATCAATATTAATAATAATTCTTTATATGAGCATAATTCACATTATAGTGCAGAAGCACTGAGAATGTTTCCCTTTACTACCGGAATCTCCATTCTCTGATAACAATAATAATAACACTACTGCTACTACCATTACTGTTACTTACCAGCTTGAAGAGATTTAGGTACAGCACTAACATGAATAGGTGTAGGCACAGTTGGATTAACCATTATCTAATAATATTATTATTAATCATTAGTATTATTACTACTACCTTGGTCTCAGTCAAAGTCTTAGTATCTTCTAACTCTTTACCTCCACAAAATATGCGTAATCTACCAACTTCACTTACTGGTAAAAAGTCTGATCATAATCATGATGAGCTTGGTTATTAGTGTTCAATCATCATCACCTTTAGGCCACTTTTCCTCATGCATTACTCTCTTCTTAACATCCATAACAGTATCATTTACCTGTATATTATTATATAAATATACTCTATATGAATATTAGTATTACACTAAACTCTTCCTCTAATGGTTTACCATCATGATTGACAAATATTATCCTTAATTTAACGCTCTTATCATCACCGTGATGATATGCAGTAGTTGTCTCATCTTCTTCCTTATCTACTAACATCGAGCCCACCGTATGTTGTGTATCATCATACATAGCAGTAGTACTTGTCATACTAACTTGATTAACTAATAACAGGATGATAATAAGCAGCAGAGAAGTGGCGGTATCATCATCATAATCACAAACAGTCTACTCTTGCCAATCTTGAAGTGTCTTGCATTTCCTCAACAGTACCACTCATCACCCCGTCTGCGCACTCGGATTGGTAGTTTATCGATCACGTGATCGATTTGAAGGTTAACTCAATCAATGGACCTTATTACTAGAGTCTGGTAAAACTTTGTGTGGACCGCTCATATCAAAGATGGCTCCTAAGTTCGACCCTAATGAGATAAAGATCATCTATGTTCGCCAGTATGGTGGTGAGGTTGGTGCATCCTCTGTTCTAGCCCCTAAGGTTGGTCCTATTGGTATGTCGCCTAAGAAGATTGGTGAGGATATCCAAAAGGCTTCCCAAGATTGGAAGGGTATTAAGATTACTGCACAATTGGCTGTACAGAATCGTAAGGCTACTGTTACCATTAAACCTACTGCTACTTCTTTGCTTATTAAGGAATTGAAGGAACCTCTACGTGATAGGAAGAAGACTAAGGATATTAAGCATAATGGTAACCTTACTATGGAACAAGTATTGGGTGTTGCTAAGAAGATGCGTCCTACCTCTATGGCTAAGGAGTTCAAGGGTACGGTTAAGGAGATCCTTGGTACTTGTCGTGCTATTGGATGCAGTGTTGCTGGACGTAGCCCTCAAGAATGGCAAGCTGATATTGATACTGGTGACTTTGTCCCTGAGGAACCATCTGACTAGAAAAGAGGAACAATGACGAATATCAACAACGTTATTAATACTAATGTAACGGCTGTTTCCTCATATGTTATTGTTGTATTGATGGTATTAATAATGATTGTAGACATTTAATTGTGTTTCTAATGATGAATAAGGATGATAATAATAAATCTGAGTATATACCTTATGAGGATTATCAAAAGGATTTAATAAATCTTAGAGTAATTTGATAAACCATTTAAAGATAATATAATTCGATTATGATAGGCCCAAGCAGCAGCTGCAGAGGGTAGGAAGATGACTGTAGATGATCAGTATACTTCTGAGGACATTGATGATACTATGCTATTAGCCTCAACACTATTATCATCATCTAGGTCATTACCAAATATATATGATGTAATACCAGTATTGGTAGTACTACTACCTCATCGTCTTCATCATCATCAGACTGATGCATTAACAGCATCTGATATTGCCAAACCAGGGGGATTTAGGAGGCACTTTATCCAAGCTACTACTACGCCTGATGATGAGGTAATACCCATGCAGCAGGAAGAGCAGGAGGAGTCTGCGGAGAGAGAAGGAGAACACATCATCATCACACATTTTGGAGATAATACATCTCTAAAGGCACCCTTATTATCTGATAAACAAGAAGTAAGCCCATTACGTTAGGATGGTATACTAAACATATTATTAGTGTATTAATGATGATAGTAGTAGTGGTAGTAAGAAGGTAGAAGGTATAGAAGAGAGTCATGAAGCATCATTGAAGGAGTCTATTATGGATAATCTTACGTATATGTTCGATTTCTTTACTGATGTTGAGAATAATAATGGTTATGATGATGATAGAGGTGGCTTATTCGATGATAGAACCTCACAGGAGCTATCATTATGTATTAGACCTCATGAGAAGAGCAATATCATAAAAACGGTAATAATAATAACAACACTATAAATAACAACATTGAAGTAACATTATTAGATATTATCAATATTTAAATCGTTCATTGGTGTTGGTATACTTTTCCTACCTAATGCATTCCATAATGGTGGATGGTTATTCAGTTGTATATGTATGGTAATATCAGCATTATTATCAACTATTGGTATGTATAAATTAAGTTCATGCCATGAAATAACACATAAAACCTATCCACAAATGGGATATGTTGCCTATGGCAATACTCTCTATTATACCATATCATTCCAGCTAGCATTGAGTCAATTCTGTTTTGGTATAACAGGTGTTATATACATAACAAATACACTAAGTAATAATAACAATACCTATTCAATGTAGTAATACTCCTGTTGTTGCTATTTGTTGTAGGTCATATAGTAGGATGTATTGTATCTGGTGATACGGGTGATACTACTACTACACATGAGTCTTATCTTATACAAGGATTAGATGCTAATTATGATAAGATAGTACAAGCTTTCTATATAGTAGTTTTGGTTACATACATTCCATTATCATTTATAAGAAGGATTGGTAATATGAAGTTCACTAATTTGGTAATAATGATAATAAACCGATACAAATAATTAATATATTACTATTTAGTAACTTAATCAGGTTGGTGATTTATGCATCCTACTATCAGTAATATTTGTTATGTATTCGGCATGTAGATCATTAAGCATATATGGTATATCAGATGGTGTTAAGGCTATAGATAGTGGAAGAATGTTATCATTTATTGGTACTGCAGTATACTCTTTTGAGGGTATTGGATTAGTTATACCAATACGTGAGAGTATGGCTAAACCACAATACTTCAATATTGTATTGACTTGTATGATCACGTTTATGGGATTAATGCTATGTGCTTTT